CATATTATTTATACATACTTAAGATCTTTTAACGCATATTTGGTTGGTTTTTAATGCATAATATAAATCCGCGTTTTAATCATTACGTATCAGGTATATTACAGTCAAAATGTAATACGCGACTGAATATAAAAAATTCAAGCGGGGCATTCATTTATTTATTTATTTTTTATTTTTATATATAACACTAGTTGTCCCGCGCCCGACGTTGCCAGTGCCAATTTGTATTATTATTATTTTACCCATATTCATTTTTGGTTTTGGCCGTGTTAGAATTTTATGAAAACAAATAGGTGGAAAGTGGGTAGTGCACCTGCGGCGGCCTAAATCTGTTCTATTGTGATATTATTACGAATAAAGAAAAATGTAGACCATAATAGCGAAACGATGCCGAATAAGCATTGAATAGTCTTTATGTGTTTTTGGTTATTTTCGTTCTCGGAATTAAATTTATTCTTATTACCATTCAGGTAATCTGTCTTAATCGGTATTCAATAGAAAGAGTCCGTTATAGACAGGTCGAAATACATTGGAATGCCTATCTTTTTGCCGAGATATTATTATTTTGTCTTATTTTGTCCGTTAAAAGAAGTGTCCTTTATATACAGATGTCCGTTAAGATAGGTTTCACTGTATACATATATATACAAAAATGTAATATTGCTTGAAAAGTGTCAGATACAAAAATAAAAAGATATCCTGGGATAATGAGGACGGGTGCAGTCACTGTTATAGATAATTTAATGTACACTTGTAAGCAACGATAAACCATTGTTTACGAAAAAACGATTCTAAGTGAAGTTTAGTTGATAGTGATGCTTTGTCAGCAATATATATACATATGTAATTTTATAGTAGAATATTTAAATAGACTTTATACATTTTCTTTAATAATATTTATATAATGTTGTGCCGATTTTCTCAATTTTCCTACATTTTTTCCATGTTTTATCAACTTTTCACATTTGCTGGGAAAACTCCTGAAAAAATCAAAAAATTACCTTTATAAAGCACCTCCCTAGTGGAATTTAAATACATTGCTATCAAGTTGGAGTAAAATTGTTGGTAGAAAATTTGTATACAGAAAAATGAAAGCCGTAATATATTTTTAATACCTACATTTCGTAAATTTTCTTGTTTTTTTTTCGGTTTTTCGCATTTAATAAGAAAACTCGAAAAAATCAAAAAATGACCTCCACACGTCGATGTTCTTTCAGAAAAGGTGCTACACGTAGAAATCTGAGCAAGTCTTCTGGTATAAAAATTACGCACAGATAAAAAAAAAAAAACATCTTTGTAAAACTATAAATTTCTTCGCTCCACTCAGAATGTAAAATAAAAGCATTTCATGGTAAGATAATTAATAGGTTAGAATATAAGCTTGTGTATATACCTTGTGTACAATAATTTTAGACTTTAGTGTCACCCTATTCCATAAAACATAGTCAAATACGTCACTGTCTTAGTTCTAAATGAACAATGTAATTTCCGAAGTGTCTGCGATAATTTATGTGTTGGTGATTAATCCCATTTGAGCGACTTGTCAATAATCAAATCTAGGTAGGTATTTAGTTTGTTAAACTTAATTTAGTTTGATACAAAAATTTTATTAAATCGTATTATTAATTTAAGTGTTTTTAAGATAGTTTTCTTATTTATTTTTACTGTAGCTCAACTCATTTGTCTATATTATTGTTAAAAATATTTAAACAATTATTAAGAAATAGCATATCAAAAATAGGGTCTCACTGGTCCTGGTTTATAACTTTGATTAAAGAATGAAATTTGTTTTATAATTAATAGAAATTAGCAGTATTGTTATTATGAAATTTAAAATTTTTACATGTTCGATATTTTCAATAAAAAATTAAAACATAACATTATTAAAATCATATTTTTATGTACCTACGAGCCACAACAAAATAAAAGACAAACAAAATATAAAATATATGATATTATAGTGTAACATACTATTATATTTTATATCAAATGTACAGCACCAAGCTCCAATGTTAGTTATCTTATTTACCCGATCATGGGCCGGATTTTTCAAAATTCCGTAAACATTTATTTTTATTTTGCTTTTTCGGTTCATATACCGGATCTCCATAAAAATCCCGGACCTGGGCTGATTCATCTCGACCTCCCCCCCACTAATCGAGCCTAATACTACGATCAAATGTGATAAATACAATAACGAAATCTTCTTAAATTTCCTGCGTTCACGATGTTTCTGAAAGAAAATTTTGTTTTTTTGTACTTTAAAGTGGTAATTTTTTGATTTTCGATGCCGTTTTCAAAATAATAGCACTTAACTGGGAAAAACAACGATTTTACAATTTCATTATTTTAAATAAAAAAGGACGACGTTTTCTATTTTAAATATTACTTTAATCGAAAATGACAAGATACTTTTTTTGTTTAATTTTGAATTTTATTTCTTATGATATGATTTCCGAAACATTTTAGTTATTTTTGAGCTATTTAAAGACATTTTAATTTTAAGAATTTATTTGTAGTAATTCAGTTAAAAATAGTTGTAAAGACTTAAAACTTAATAATAATATTTATATTGGATTTACCTAGACGTGGTAAAATTTCCAAAATCATCGGGCAACTTTTTTCTTTTTTTTTTAAATTTGTTTACAATGGTATTTTATTATTATTTTTTTTTTATTGTAAACCACTTTTATCCTAGAAAACTTACTACAATGTATAAGTATAGCACCTTTTCTAAAATCCAATTTTATCTACTTGGTAAATACATAGGTCATTTTTTGATTTTTGAAACGGTATTTAAAATAAAACGATTAACCGAGAAAAAAATACGATTTTTTCACGATTCCATTTTTTTAAATAAGTACCTACCTTAATCAATTGTGGTCAATTGATAAAAAAATAAACAAAATAAAAATATTTATTTTCATTTGTCCAGCTAAGGTAGTGTGGAAAATTGCATAGAATTGTATTTATTTTATAACTATTAGAAGTATAAAAAAATATTGATACTGTTCAATGAGAGAAGTTTGAAGAGATGATATATCATAGTGTCTTGTTCTTCTCAACAAGAGACCATATTATTGTTGATTTTTTTTTAATAAGCGTTTTGAAATCTAATTTAAACGAAAATCGCAAAAAAAATTACGGCACTTCAAATTATGTATCACCCAACTGCGCTCTGGACCGTCTTTCGTCAGCAACGGTTTATCGTTGGTTACATATATAAATTAATTAACCTTATGTATCCTACCTTCCCAACTTCTCACTTACAACAGTGGCTGCACCCGTCCCCAGTTTTAGCTCTTTTTTATTATTTTAATTTCAAATTTGTTCCAAACGTTTTCTGCAGTTCTCACCAAAATGTTTCCAATTTATTACTTTTTTGAATCATGTTTTTTCCTAATAATACGTATTTCAAATTTATTAATGTTTAAAACAATGTGGATTCCAAATAACATGTGTTCCGTTCATTTAATTTCTCAAATGTATTTGTTCCTGACAATGCATTTTCCATTTATTTGCCTAACAAAGACAGTTCCTGATCGTATTTTTCTACATAATGAATTCCAAATAATAAATATTACTATTTCATTTCCAATTTTGTTTGTTCAGATAATATCTTTTCTGGGAAAAAAATTTCTTCGAATTGATGGCGTTCCCCCCTGTATGCCGGTTGTTTTCGTAAGAAAAACGTCCGTCTCTCAGGGAAAACCAGATTATGTATTTATATGTTATTGATTAAATAACAGCATAAAAATATTATATGATAGTATTTTATTACAGAAAATTTGAAATTAAATTTAACTTGGACAGAGCGGCGGTGCTTTCTTATTTCTAACTCAAATTATCACATTTAGTTCACCATTAAAAATGTTAAAAATTAAAAATATAAAATGTTATATTAAAAAATTGCGTTATTGTAATTTGATAAATTATCAACTTTTCATTTCAAATTTGTAAACGATTTTTTTAGGGGTTTTTTAGTGGCTAAGACCCAAAATACCCCCCTCCCCTAGTTGCTCTAATGTATCATATTTTAGTTTTAAACAATTACAATTTTAAAATTGTTATATTCAAATTTTGAGGTTAAATTTCAACTATGCGTGAGTTATGTGTACAAATTATTTCCAGCACATCATATTATAATTTTTTTTCCATTCTTTAATTATTAATACGTGCATTTTAATATAAAAAATAATTTATCTAGGATTTGTATACACTTAATTTATTTTTATTATGCAGTAATTTGTTTTATGTTATAATATGTTAGTGAACGATTTATTATTCTAACCAGCTGAATATAAGGTCTATTATAGGTATATAATATGTATATATTATATATAGGTATTTTAATTAAAGCGTCATTTGTTTTGTCTCGTTGTAGGACACTGAATTATTGCGAGACGGATGTCCCTGCAGGGTATCGAAGTATGCCTCCCAAGGTTAAATACTATTGCTAAATTTATGCAGAAGCTCTTTTCAATAAATCCTAAATGTCACCTAAACTATAAATGTCCTACTTTAATATTTACACAATAGTAGATTTAGAGATATGTTATTTACAGAAACTCTGCTTTCGGTTAATTACCTACACGTTTAATTTTATTTTTAACAAATTGTCACAACACTGTAACCCATTAAAAACTATTATTCCATTGCATTAAAAATTCATTTCTGTATTTAATGTTTCAGTACTTATATACTACTGCATTTACACTTAAGATAATTATTTCCAGATCAATATTTCGCATTTTTAAATGGATGATGTGAATCTCAATGTGATGACCGAGAAAATCGATAATATGCGATATTTGAAGGTAAGGTAAAACAGGTAAGTATTCAGGTATTTTTACCTATTCAGCTTTATTTTTTTAAACATTATTTTTAAAATTACAAAAATATATATTTTTAATTGGTATTTATGTTTTACTGTTTCAGTCCTAATATATTACTGCATTTACACTGAATATAATATTCATATTAATACTTGGTTTTTCTAAATGGATGGAGTGCAAAGAAATTTCAATATGATGGCTGAGAAAATTGATAGAATGCGATGTTTGAGGGTAAGTTTTAGCGTACCTATTCAAATTAACTTATTTTGAAAAAACAATAATATATAGATTCAAATTACTATATTGCATTTATATGTTTTATTTTATTACAAACAATTTTTGAAAAATTATTATAACAACAGGGATTGGTAAATGAAAACAAAGACAACGAAAGTTAGCTTTTAAATAATGTATAGAAATTTATTTCTGTATGATTTAAAATCATTAAGTCATGTCGATATTATACATAAATTATTATACTTCAAATAAAACCTGATAAACATAAACTATTTTTATATGTCTAGCTTATATTTCTCTCTCGCTCTATGTATATATATATTAACGTGCTCCTTAGATAAAATTCAAATTTTAAATGTGCCACCCTTAAATTAGGTTCCTAACTATAAAAAAATAATATGTGTCGAATTTAGTCACGATAATATAGGCATATAAAGAGGGTTTAAATTGTCTAAAATGTCTTTAAAAAGACAAAAAATAAAATTATAAATAAAAATTGTATTTTATAAAAAAATGAACAGAAATAATTCCGTAGAAAATGTATTTATTTAAAAATATATAATTATGAACAATTTCAAAACTGCTTACTAAATAATGAAATAAAATTAGGTTACCCCTGAAAAGTAGGTGTGGTCAATAGTATTTGTTATTCCACAATAATAGTTCAGTAAAATCGGACAAATAAACTATAAAGTTTGGAACTAATTTCCCGATAGCTGAATTTTGGTTCCTCCCTTGTGCGTAGCCCTCTAGCCCTCTTGAAACCGACACGCGCTCCTTTCACTGATTTCAATTATAACTCGTTAGTTGTTTAAGGAACAATAAAAATACCTATGACCAAAATTAAAGGTCATACAATTTATATATTTATAATAGAATAAACTTACTTTTAATATTTGTATATTTGTGTATTTGTATATTTGTATAGTTTAGGTTCAATATGGGCTAATATTTAAAAATTGAACATAAAGGATGTTGAGGACAAATTTTATTTTTATTCTAATTTGTTTATCATTAATATAATTATGATTTCTAAAATAATAATATACTATTAAATTCAAATTAATTTAACACATATATTGCAGTAACCTTCAACTTTACACTACACAGCCTAACGGTACCCACTTGCCAACTACTTTTTATTCATTAATAGTTTTAACATTTAACATATTCTATACATACCTGTAAGACTAGGCCTGTTTTGATAATTAAATACCACGACAATTTTTATATATTATGTAAACTAAAACACTATAGTAGATGTGAATGAAATTATACTATTATTAATGTTATTATTTAACAATAATATGATTATATAATTAAAACTAGTTAAATGAACAGAATAATAATACAATTATAAAATTGATAATAATGATACAAATTATAAAAATACAGAATATTAGAGAAATGTGATTTTCTATTGTGTTTCTGAAAAAAATAAATAAACTATGTACATACATGATTATACATGATAATATACATACATGATAATAAAATATGAAACACAAGGTTTTATATTTAGTTTAAACACTACCATTGTTCTGGTGTCAATGTTAAAAGAAAACACACTTAAAACTGGTAAGTATCTATATAAAATTAACTATCAATAATTAATTCATAATCAACTCGCTGGAGGGTAAAATTTGAAATTTATGCTTACAAATACTTAAAAATTGCGAAGAACAATTTTCCACGGTAAAACATAAAATGTATAATCTAATACTAATATTTGTACTAATAATCTGATTTTTTTGGGAGAAGCTTAAATTTTAGGGGAGGGGGGGTTCCAGACCCCACGGACTTCCAATGCAATGGTTAAGTGTTTGAAGGTAGGATATATAAGGGAATTGAATTCGTATCTGTACTCAATGATTAATCATTATTAACGAAAAGCGATTCTAAGCGGAGCTCGGTCAATAGTATTGCTCTTTCAACAATATGCGTTTTCACGACAACAACAATTGTTCAAAAAATATTAAAGGTTAAAATAATAAAAACTTAATAATAACAAAAAAATAAAATAAAAACGGTTGCCAATTACAATATTTTTTAACCTAAAGACCAGTTTTCCCTCATCATCTCGAATATTAATGAGAATTTAAAAAAAAATTAACTTTACGAAGGTACCCACTAGAGCCGAAATTCAACAAAAAAGTTCTCTTATCATATTTTGATTGGTGCAAGATTTTTAGGAGAAAAGTTATTTACAGATAAAAAATTTTTTAAAAATACACTCAGAATCTAAAAAATGAAGAATTTTTATATTAATTATTAACATGGAATATTAATTGTATAGACGCCATCAAAGTATAGGGAACCATAGTTTATAATTATATTTTTTATTATTATAGGAGCGATGCGACAGTTACGTTCGACTTATAAAACTGACACTAGATGAAACAATACGAGAACAAAACACACTTTTAGACGGATCAGCTATTCACAATCGATTAAAACGTATCGGAGTAAAGAACAAACGGCCTACGACTTTGTTAAATGACTATGCGTTTAATATTGATAACAATAATATTATATACGACAAAAATACAGATTTCTATTACAATTACAAGTATTCTATGTTTGATAACTGCACTCTAGGTATTGGACCACATAAGAAAAATATTAACGTAAATTCGACGATCCCACCGTATTTGCAACCGATTAACAATAACTCGGCCTACTATAATTCGGGCTGTAAACCTAAAAAACTGTATGACTTTTCCTCTGATGCAACTGTATACGCGGACGATCACTGCGAAAATTCGTATTATTTGCCAATAAGTTCAAAAAATTATGAGACGTCCACGAACGTTCGAACTGCTTATCCTCGAGAATACCAAGTGTGTTATTTCCCAACGTCAAAACCCATACCACAATATCCGCGGCAGACCACCGAACGGTTTTACAAACGAAACCCCGTTAAACAGTATCCGGTAGAACAAGTCCCTTACTGGCACACGCGGTACATAAAACCGGTAAAAGTGGTCGAACGGGAACCATATTATCGGACGGTCGACTATGATTACTACAGCGGTACAAATCAGGATTATCTCGTTGGCGACAAAAATTTTGAGCCTTATACGCAACATCGCAATACATATCGTCCGAGATATCGTCCGGCAAACGACTGCAGTACGTATCGCGGGTTAGACGAGAGCAGTTATTATTACGTACCTGACGTGCAGGGACAACGATCGTTTTCCAGTGTAACGAGACCGTGTTCACCAGTATACAGCAGCAGTGGTAACGATATTTCGTACAGTAAAACTCGTTTTGAAAACGCCGCAGGAAGTTTACTTGAAAAACAAATCCGCGACTACGTGTGGAATCCACGCAAAGATCTGCAGCGAGTCGACAAATACACGATTCCCAATTATGAAAAAAGTACACATTATTGTACCAGTTTTAAACCATCGTCAGTACAGAATAATTATCATCAAAGTAACGATACAAACGGAACACGTTTACCGGTAGAATTAGATTCTCCGCAGATACAAAATCAAACAATCGAAGTATCCAAAGCCGATAGTTCATATTATAAAAAACCGTCAACTCTGCTGCATATGTCACCGGAAAGAAGCAGACGTTCACACGAAGAATGTTTTCAACCACGAAAAGACGCTGGTGATCACATTGATCATATTCCCGAAAATACATCGTATAATACAAAAACTGAAACGCCCGTGAATTTTCCAAAGCGAATAAGTTTTGATCTTGGTAATGCAAATACAGAACTACCTAATCGTAAAAAGTCTATTTCAGAAAAAAATACTGTTCAATATGCGAATACAGTGGAACGTAAATCAAGTTTAGGGAGAAGAGAATCTAACCCATCAAAACTCGATAATATGCGTCGAACCTCTTTAATGCTAAACGACGATTATCCCGTTTCAATTAGCAAACCACGTAGTATTTTGCCGAGTCAAACGAATGGAGGTTCTAGAAAAGAATTTTTAAGTAGACCTGACAAATTAGATGCGGTTGTAAATCCACGTGAATCGAATAAAAATTTAAATTTCCCCAAAAATCCCAAGGAAAACAATTTAAATGCGTTGGAAAAAAACGTAGTTAATTATAATAGTGGAACCAACGATGACATTGTAAGACACGATTATGTACAGAATAATGATACTGAATATTGTCCGAAGAGACAAAATGATAAAAATAACGATGCGCGTAAGCATCTATCAAGTGAAAAAGTGCGAAATGATAATGGCGTTATTAGTAGGGATAATGAAAAGAGAAAATTAACGGAATCTACTGGAAAATCAAATTTTAGCAACGAAGACCGATCAAAGAACAAATCGAAAGAAAAAGATAAGATCAAAATTCTCGAACGGAGAGAAAGTTATAAAGACGGACGACAGTTTAAAAAAGAAGGCAATTCCGCGGGTAAAAATAATTCTATTGATACGGCCGATAGTCAATTAGATAAAAAATATAACGACTCCCAAAATATCGTCATAAACGACCCGTCCAAAAGTATCAGTCCGTTCGCAGTCGATCGCAATAACGATGATACAAATAGTTCTCGTACCGGCGGAGAAAAAATTACAGACCGCGTTCAACAAGTTATTAATAACGATGATATTGTAGAAAACGGAATTGATCCCGAAGCAATTCTACCGTACCGAGAAGTCGATGACTCTAACGTAGAAACCGCCGATGGTATTATAAATTCTGCGGAACAAGACAGTTTTGACTACGAGTCGAACGCAAATAAAATGCAAGAACCGTCTCGCGAAATAATTGTTGCAAATAACGACGAGTATGGAAATAATATCATGAACAATTACTACCAGGACCGTCCGTCTAACGATGACATAAATGCAGTACATTCGAGTATGCACGAGTCTGTACCAGAAGTGCAACCGGAATACGTGGACGGGCGTGACAATGAAAATTACGACTATCCAACAGACGAGTTTGCCGACAGTAAAAAAGAAAATAATATAATAACATCGGGCGAACATCACGTAGCCGAACCCGTTCAGCACGATGAGTTTGTCGACGGAAACCTACACGGCGAATTGTATTATCAAAATCGTACGGCTGCGGGCGACACAAAAGAAAATCCGACGGGAAATCAATACGACGAGACGCCGACCGCTGCAGATCCGCAAGAAAAGTACACGGCCGAACCGCTGCACGGCAACGGCGACGATTATTATTATCAAAATAATTATTCTAATGTCGAAGTGTTGGGAGAACGACCGGAAAATCAATATCCTGCAGAACCCGATCATCGTCAAGGCGAATACAATGGCGCGGCGACGACGGCGGCCGCGGTGATGAGCGACGCCGAATACGACAATAATAATTTCTATAATAATAATAATAATTATCAAGATCGCGCGGGAGTGGATGTCGCGGAACAACGGCAAGCAGACGACGGACAGTACGAACTCGCCGACCCCAACTATCAGGAAAACCACGTAGACCCGCAGCAACGTCAGCCCGACGACGAATATTATTACCAAAACGATAATAGTAATAATTATCCTAATGGCGGCGTAAAAGAGCAACAGGAAAACCAATACGCTGAACCGGTGGGCGAATACGTACAAGGCGGCAGGACCGAACTGCAGCGCGACGACGGTTATTACTACGGAAACGATCCTGGGAACGAAGGCAATGCGGACGAACGTTCGATCGACCGGCATTACGTCGAACCCGAGCAGCGAGAAAGTTACGTCGGCGAGGCGCGAGACGACAATAATTATTATTACGAAAATAATAACTCTGACGACGTGAACGCCGCGGATAGTCGTCTGTCGGCCCAATACGACGAACACCATCACGGTCAACAAGAGAGTTACACGGACAACCGACACGCGGACGGTGGTTACTATTATCAAAAGCCCGACGATGACGGTGTTTATGACGAATCGATACCCAACGAACAAGCATACGGCGGCGATTATGATGTTGGCGACGATCAGCACCGGACCAACGCGGACACGTCTTATTATCCGGATTCGCAGGCCCACGATAATATCAATAATTATGACCCGCAAACCGCGGACTACGAAAATAACGGTTATCAACAGCCGGCCGGGTACATAGGACCATCGTCGTACGAACGAAATCCTAACGAAAACTATAATGATTACACAGGTATAGACGACGCCATTATTGATGGAAGTCGGCCCGAGAATCTAATTTCCGACGACCCGCAACAAAACACCAACAACAACCAAGAATTATAAAATATTATATTATACAAATAACAATGTTACCTACGTACACAAGAAAAAAAAACCTTGTTAATATTATTACCGAAGACGTTAAATTGTTTTGTGAATTTATATTATGTTAAACAGTTATAAAATATATGTACATGTTAATTAATACTAAACCTTCATCCAAACGCTTTATGTACAATTATAAACACCAGGAAGAGATTAAAAAAAAAAATAAACTTATCGACTAATATACCAGGTGATCCATTAATAGTGAGTACACTCATTATCTCGGAAAGTATTAACTTTTTATTAACTTTGGGAAAACTACTAACTATACTTTTGATTTTCAAATGTAAACCTATATTAAAAACTCCATAAATAGATGGAGTATTAGTTAAAATAAATTTTAGTCTTGCCATTTTTGTGGAATATCTCGTCAACAGCTTAACAGAAACACTGTATGTCAACACTAAAATTAATTTTAACTAATACCCTATCTATTTATGGACTCTTTAATTTGGGTTTGTATTTGAAAATCAAAAATAGGTAGTGGTTTCACCCCCGAAAATAAGATTGACAGTAAATAATATAAATGTAAAATTGTAGAGCAGCTCTACTAAGAGCTTGTTTCTTAAATGTTTTAGAAAAATAATAAAACATATTAAGCACGAAATCAATCATTTATTCCATACTTGACTCTATTTTTCAAATGCATTACACAACTCAAAAACGTACTTCAAATTAATTTAAATATTTGATATTTATTTTATATTAAATTAACATGCACAACCTACCTGCTAAATAAGTAAATTATCAGAACAAAAATAATATATTATGTAATAAATAGTTTAAAAAAAAAATCATGTAGGTAGTAATAACTCAAAAATATCTATAGGTATTTTAAATAAGCATAATTTAATTACGAGTGTGTTCTGAAATTCAAACAATAGACAAATTCAAAAGTGTTATAAAATGCATAAATATGTAAGCATATATTTATAGTATTTTAATGAAAATTGTCCACGCTTTAATTTAGCAAAACTATCTTTATTCGGTAGTTGGTATCTACTTGGTACTATAATATTATTTATAACCGGGGCTCGGATTTTATAGCATTTGATAATTATTATAGGATACAGATAAAAATAGAAGAGTGAGCTTTACATTTGTTTTATGCGCCAAGGACTCCAAATATGCAATTGTATAATGCTATTTTTCGCATATTTTAAATATTTTAGATTTTTAGTGCTATTTTTCAATTTTTGGTACTATTTTTTGCTAATATGCATAATTATATAATGATTTATTTTGTATTTTTCATTGATAGTAGAAAAAAATCTTACTGTATTTATGCATTTAAAAAAAAATACACTATCCTTTTAGTAATTTTTCATGTTTTCATGGCATACTATGGCTTATTTTAAAATTTTTAGGACACATTGCGCTTATTTTAAGATTTTTTAGGTCATATTATAGTTCATACTACAATTATTTACAGTGCTATAAAATTCGAGCCTTGTTTATAACGATGTTTATGTCTTTTTATACTGTTGAAATTTTAAATGATAACAAAATATTTTTGTAAAATTACGAAATAAGCCTTTTAGAATATAAATTATATGAAATTAACTATAGGTGTGCTAAAAAAAATAATCATCGGATGTATTTGCATACCTTTGCATCTCGAAAATGACGCCCTTAATTATTGTATTATATTATTATATAATAAAAATACAGAAATAAATTAATAATAAAGAAACGTTAATTAGATGTAACATTTTTAACGGTGTTTTAGGAAAACGACCGTGATTCAGTATCATTTCTCGTTGTGTAAGCAAATCTGATAATTTTTTTTAAAGTAGTCCAGAATTCCGATGTCATTTGCGTGAGAAAAAGACGCAAAAGTAGAGTAGGTATGTTTTGCAATTTAATTGTTTATATCCAGTCCTAGTATATTCGAATATTCACAATGTATTCGTGTAATACGCATAAACCTAATATTATTATTGCTTGGTAATCTCCAATTATTATTAATCCATGATAGGAATTTACAAAGCAGTTTTAAAATATAGATCGAAAATAGATAACCTAACAAGAAAAAAAACCACACGATTGACGGTATTGTCATTTTTCAATCAATTATACCGTGTGACACGCTAATTTAAAAAAGAAAAACCACAATAATAGTAAATATTTCTGAAAAAAAAAAAACCCCATCAAATACCTAATACGATTGAATTATATCAACTGGAATTATAAAGACCCGTAGTCACGCGATAATGTCATGACCTACTAGGTATATGTACTTCAAAAAATATACGCGTTATACTATACCTACATTAAAGTATAATATTATATTATCTACTCAAAAATAAAAAAAAATTATATGTATGGGTACATTTAATGTAATATAAATCATTTTACCTTACTATTTTATCGATTTTCCAATATTCTTTTTGAATATTAAAAATAACACAATATGACATACATTGTAATTATTGATCTTTGACTTTATCGGCAATTTAGGATACACGTAAATCTATTTATACGTTATCTATTGATAATAGTGAAAAACCGATTGCAATTTATAAAATGTCTACTGGGTACCTGCATAGTGACGCACGCAGGATTTTTTTTCGGGAGAGGTTTTGTTTATAATAATTTCCTAGAGCGAGGATAGCACAAATTATCAGTACAGTATTATCACTATTATTACTGAATAAATTATTTTGGTTGAAATTAAATGTTATTTTATTGTGTGATACACAATATAACGTTGTAGAGTATAAAACTTGATTTTAAAAAATGTTGTGAAGGATGACATGGCGGGGGGGGGGGTTGTGACCCCCTAATCACTCCTCTCTTTGTGTGCGTCACTGTACCTATATAAATGATAAGTGAAAACCAATTAAAAATAATTCTTTCGTATTTCGAGTAAAATAAACGTAATAAACAAGTTTTTTCTGTGACGCGTACACATTTGTATTTTTAATATATTTGATAAACCTAATTTTAAAATGTACCTATCTAATATAAGCGTACGTCACGTTGTAAAATACACGTGGGAAATTGAAAAAAAAAAAATTAAACAATGATATAATTATACTACCTACTATTATAATAGGTACTACTGGTAAAAAACTGCAATCCGACCTTGTAAAATTGACAATTCGCCGCTCGATAATATACATATTTGTTAAACTGTAAAAAATGTATATACCAATATATTTAATATACAAAAATAGATTTATTACGAACACCGCCGATTCTATAATATCGCTGTCCCTGTCAATTTAAACACGATTTATACAAACGTGTATTGTGCATTGCTGCCCCGAAGTCCGATGTACTGATACGCGTCATGTCTATCACAGACAAGATAAAACTAAATATTATACAGATTATAGGTTTTCGTTTTGTTTAAGAACATGTTTAAAAATTGAATGCAAACAAAATTGTAAAACGTATTATTTGACATAATTTTAAGTATAACCCAACCTAACCTAACCTAACCTTATTTTATACCAGAGGCGAATTTATGGTTGGGATGGACGATAAGTGAAACGCCTTCCCCCACTCTTGGACCGTAGCTCTTTTATTTTTTATCTAAAATATGGAAAAAGTAAGTACCTACGTTTACGTCTACGAATATATTAACATTGACATTACTAATATATTGTATTAATATGATATTCAATGTTACAGCTATTCATTTTATTATTATACGCATTATATTATGTATTAAACTGAATGTGATATGGATTAAATATAATTATTTTTTGTTAACTCTTTGTTGCTTTCAAAAGCATCAACTAGGCTGCAATGAACTGTAGCTACAAGTTAGGAAGACCAAATTAAAAATAAATTTGTAACGGGCATGTGACAAAGCCGTATTTTAGATCGTTTATGCGAAGAGGAACCTATTGCTACTCAACAACAATTGTTAAAATTAGCCACTAATAAGGAAGCGACCATCAAACGAAATTCCACGTTCACATGGACATTAACAGTGTATAAAATAAACCTGACATTATATATCTGTACACAACGATAAATCATTGTTAATAAAAAAAACATTTCTAAGCGAATTAAACGTATATTTTGAAATGCCGTGATTTTTATGGCGGGTTTCATCAAAATTTAAACATAAAACGCTTATGAAAGAAACTACTACAAATCTACACTACCTAGATGAAACCGTTATAACCATAAGTTGTGCTGTTTTTTCTTCGTTTTTTCCTAATTATTTAAAAAATTACGAGTAAAATCAAAAATTTACCTCCTCAATCTACAAACTAGTTATAATTTGTTTGCAGAAAGGATGCTACACTTGAACATTGGAGCAAGATTTTGGGTAGAAAACTTGTTAACAAATAAAAGAAACAAACATACCACAGTAAAACTAATACATTTCTTGCGGTGTTCAGAATTTAAAAAATAGTAAGACTTTTGCGTGTTTTTTCAATTTTTTTTCGGAGGGGGAGGTGAATTTTCAAATTTTTTTGAAAAACTTAAATTATAACCCGGTATCAGGGATGGTTTTAAGATAAAAACTTAAGAGTTAGGTCTACAAATTCGTCGATTCTATAGTCTCAGATAGGGACGAGGGGAGGCTAATCGACAAGTATTCACTGTTTGCCAATTCAGTAAAATTTGTGCTAAAATCTAAAAATAAAAATAATACAATAGATTATTTAAGGATCAATCAAATATTTAAGATAAAATTGAGTTTTAGGTTTATGGACAATTATTTAAATATTTAAATTTATTGTTTTATCTAAATAGTATTTTGATAGAAAAATGAAAATCTTACGAGTGTTAGCAGGGGCGTACATTACGTACAGAGGTGTACATTATTAATAGAATGGGTTCAAAAGCTCAATTATTTCGATAGGTACAATAGGTAAAGGTAATGGAAGTATAGACCTCTTGGAAAATTAATTTGAATATTGATTTGGTTTATAGCTATAATCTTGTTAATACTTTAAGTTCACATTTAAAACAATTTAAAAGAAAAAACAAGTATTTACACTTTCACAGTTTAACTATTGTTTACTTAAAGCTGTAAGTCATGTACTATAAATTTCATTGTCTGTAAT